TAACTTCATTAATTCTGAATGAAATTCAGTAATATGTAAAACCTAAACAGTATTTAGTAGTAGAATAGGTAGAGAAGTGCTTGATTATTATGAAAGTTTGTTAAATTATTCTGTTGGCTTCTAATTTTTTATAAATACTTAAAGTGATTAAAAAATTTGTTGAAAATATAATTTTTATCTTCTATCATATATTCTTATATAAATACCAAAAGTGATTCTAAATAAGATTTAGAATTTCATTTCCTGATGAACAGCAAGTCAGCATCAAGCTTTGAGTGAATGTTAGATTTATTTTATTTTTACAGTTGGAGAGCCTCTCAACGTTGAACGGACTGAGAACCCTAGCCAAGAGCAAATAGATGCCCTCCACAGTAAATATTGTGCTGCTTTAAAGGATTTATTTGAAACTCATAAACTGAAGTATGGTTGTAAAGAAATAGACCACTTGGAATTTGAATAACTGTCATTTTAATATAGAAATGAAGATTGTTTTATTTTATTAACATTTTCATTTTACATTGTGATTATTTGGAATTATTTTTACATAAATTTTAGCTTTCAATAATTTTTTTAAAAATATATAGAACTACGTTATATAAATTATTTTTTATATTCTGTTTGCTTCCAACTTCTGTAAGTGTAAAAACTTATTTAAATTGGGGCAGGCAATGTAACCTTTTCTTTTAGCTTGCAGATTGCATTATACTAGCTGGTCTTGTGTGCTTTATCGGTTATTATTGTTTTATGTTATTGACTTTTGCAATTTGATTTTGTTGACTATACCATTTGTCTTGTTTGTTGACCTCATATTTTACATTGTCCTTTATTCCTTCTATTAAAGAAGTGTTGCTGGACAATGTGTCAGTCTGTTACTTGTCAGAGCTGATAGAATATAAGAGCTTCTTGTACAACACTTTCGCTTCAGCACAAAACTTTATTCACCGCCTTTATTTTACCCAGTATACCAAATTCTTCCTGTTGTTGTTTGCTCTCAAAGGCTATCAGAATGGTAGGTGTTTGTTTGTAAGAAGTGGCTAATACAGAAATTTAAATGTCAAAGCATCAACCTTTCTTGTGATGTTTTTCTTAGCCAAGTCTATTCACAAAGGTTTTGTTTTTTTTCTTAAAGACATTTTTTCTCATTTAAACTAAGTCAGGTCTTGATTAACTGACCAGTCAAGCTATGTCTGATCTTGATCAACTGACCAGGGGAAGAAATGTGTGGTTAGTGCTCAAATACACTTAAGCAGATATTTTCTGATCAAGATTTTGTGTAATTGGAAATTAGTTCCGCAACATTGTCTTAGACAACTTTTTATTGTATTGAGCCTAGCATGACAGCTGAGGAAGTATTTCTACTTTCTGTTGAAGTTTAAATTTATCATATAAATGTTATTAAAGAGTTGTTTTTTTAATGGTGCTCATCATAATAATCTGCTGGTGAACAAGCTGTGATGTAGACTGTTTTTGAAAAAAATGGTCAAAACCTGCTTGTATCTCTCTGTCTGACAGCCACTTTGTCATTTATCAAAATGAACCATACACAAATAATTGAATATATATATATATATATAAGTTTGTGTAAGATTTGAATTATTTAATTGTTAAAACATTTTCCTTTGTATTTAATTTGAATTCAAATGTAAAATGGCATATACAAATATATATATAAGAAAATATGTTTTCTGTATTCAGAGTTTTGGACTTCAATTTCTGTATTTAATGGAGTTGTTATTTTTGTAACATCTATGCTACTACAAGTTGTTATAGAAATTGTTACTGTTGTTTCAGTAGTTGTAATATCTATGATAGTATCTAGCCAAATCTCTACTTTTACAATGCACTTTAAACAATGAAATGTTCCGTTAAATTTTTTAAAAAATGCACATTTAAATTTGACTTGATTATTGCAGCTTTAGCAGAGTATTTGAGAAGCTATGTGACTGAGAACCGCTCTTAAAACTTTCACCACTTCTCTGCTTCTGTTCAGAATGTGTCAGGAACTGTGCTTCCAGTTCTCTGTCAGTTTGGTAAATCTGTGCAAAATGATTTTCAAGTTTATCTAAAAAGCTTTATCAGTTTTGTGCCTTAGACCTGGAACTGACCACAATGACTGAAATGTGAATATAGCTTCTTTCAGTAATCTTGGTTGTTACAAGATAACAGCACCACCATAGTAATCCAGCTTTCAATCACTTGTGTTCATAACAGATTTGGTAACTTGAAGTACAAGATTGCCCCCCCCCCCCCCCCCCCCCCCCAAATCATTACAGAGGTCATGACATTGCTTTTTACATTCCTCTTGATTTGCTTAGACCTGCCACCCATGATGGGTCACATTGTTCAGACGTGCCACTAATAATGCCCCACTATTAAGGCCTGACTGACTGATGACTTATTGCAGATGTCACATTGAACATTGAAGTCTTTCACCTATACTTGCCAACTCTCATTTAAAAATTGTAGTAAACCAAAATAAAAGGAATAGTTTTGCCAGTTTCATTAATGTTTTTGGCATGTCAAACCAGATTTTTATTGCTATTTACATGAAAATGTTTTCTTGACATTTTTTTTGTATGCTAAAAGTATGTATTTCACAAAATGTATACCAGTATTTCTTTACAGTTTTTATAAATTTTTTTGTTCTGTATGCATCATAAAACTATAAACATGAACCAAATAAACTATGAAATTAAAATTTGATTTGTAAAGGAGTAGATTGGAGTTTTTGTTTTATCAATAGAAATACAGCTTTTTGTCTCTAAATAGAGCATTTGAAAAATGAAACTGTTGGTTATATAATCATTCTAGGTTAGTTCAAGGAACCTACAGTTAAGTAAATCTAGTTCAAGGAACCTACAGATCCTAAATTGTTAAATTGCTACAATAGACACAAACTCTCTTCTGTTCCCCAGGCAATCAAATCATTAAATAGAAACAATCTGATATAGACTTTTCATATGTAAATTATGAGCAAGTCAGGTGTGAATGTACATATTGGTTTTTTATATTTACAATGTTTTGTTTGGTGTAATGCACAAATTTCCTTACGGACAATAAAGATTACTATTATTATTATTATTAGACCACAATTATTCATTGTCTATGAGAACACATTAATCAGTCAAAAAAATTAATTAATTAATTAGAGGTAATCTATTAATTTCAATTCATACAGTACTAGCTTAGGAGAGATAAGCCTTGTGTAAAGAATTAATTGGCTGAAAATGTGAACCTTTTCAAAGATAAAAGCTATTTTTATAATTACTTGAATAGCTCAGTGGCTAACGTGTCAGCTTTCAACCATGGAATCTCACGACTTGGAGTTACTATTCAGACTCAGCAACTTTTAAAAAAATTGCTTTTGATAAGGCAGCACAGAAACCTTCTCCCAGATACCTCCTCCTTCTCCAGCCCCAACTGGTTCACAATAGTACCGTAACAGGGCCACTGCGTACTGAGTATGCTATAAGCATGAAAGTTGCATTAAACAAAAACAATTAGGAACACCAACTGGCGGAGAGTGAACATGCACAGTAGCACCCTGACAAACAAGCGATCTCTCGACAAATGATAACTTTATTAAAACAAATACAACTTCAACACCCATTTTACAACGACCTGCACTACCACCCAAGGCTATCCCTTTATAGAGGCTGTTACAACTTAATATAAGGTTTTCAAAAGAAAATAATTTTATATTTTATCTTAATAACTTGTCTTACAAACCTTACCAAGATCAAAGTGTAAAAATGCACTGCTTATACCATGCATATAGTTTAGAAATTATTTATATGGCTTTTGTATAGAACATCTCTTCATGCTATAGCAGGATCAGCGCACTCTGACGCAATCCCTTTTGTGGTCATGTAAGGGGAGGGGATAATCTGGTAGAAGGTTTTCACCGCTGCCTTTAGGCACTCAGTATACACAACTCAGATCAAATTTACGAAAAATCCACACTAAGATTTAAACTCACCCCCTTTGATAGACTAGTTCAAACCACTAAGCCTCATCTTGAAATTGCTTTAAGCACTATTCCAATGGTAAGTAAGTAAAGAAGTAAAGTTCCCCTTTCAGACCTTGTGATCTATGGGGCAGATGATGTAGAAGTCCTCTGTTTCTGTGGCCCATGGTTAACGAGGATGTCATGTGGCCAGCACACGACCAACCACCATTACTCTTCCCTAACTATTGTCAGAGAGCTGGATGGACTCAGAGATGCCCTAAAGATCCAAAAGAAAAAATCCCAGTCCACACCAAGATTTGAACCCAGGACCCCCAGTTCAGAAGTTAAGCGCTTTACCACTCAACCACCCCGCCTCCTATAGCAATCTTCACAACTTGTAGCTCTGGTGTGTATTAATTGTCATAGATAAAAATTAAAAAAAAAAGGAAATTAATTTGGGAATCTTAACATTTAGCACTTCTTTCCCTTATTTAAGTCATGTCTTCAATTACTCACACAGAATAATGTTCAAGAAAAAATCTGAACAAAAACAACAAGGAAACAGTCTGAAATATATTTGAGATTTTTTTTTTATCAGGAGACACAACAAAAAAATAATGAAAAGAAAAATAAATCTTTAACACAAAACGAGTGAAGTGTGACATAATGCACAGTCAAGTGTGATTCACAGTGTAAGAAACATATCAATAAATATGAGAACTGGAATGTTTTATTTGAATTCAAGTTGTTCATTGGATGTACCCTACTTCTTCTGTCAGGCTATGCATGTCAAACACAAGTCTGGCTTTAATCTGCTCTATAAAAATGGAATCGTGCATGCCTCTGCTCTCACCACAAGACATTAATCATATGACTCAACACCTTTTTATGTTCCATTTTTCTGTCATACAACTGACATCTTATGGAAGTACATTTACATTTTGAGGAAACTGTTTCTAAATTTGTTCAATTTATAGCTGAGGGAATATAAATTTTGTAAACTTGAAAAAGTCTCATGAACTTTACCTCGAAACAAATATTTAGAAAATTTGAATTCTCACTCATTTTCAATGTTAACTATATAAAGTAAAAATTATTTTTAATAAGAAATCAGAAAAATGTTTTTTTTAACAAAAGCTCTTTTTTTTTAAAAGAAGTGAACAGACAACATGCTAAAATGTATTGTTAATAAAATTTACATTCAAACATAGGTTGCGACTTTTTGAATCAAAAAACATTTCATTCTCATTGAGGCTAGGGTTATATATTTTCTGTAACCTCGAAACAAAAAACAATATTTTTGTACCACCTAGAAAACAGTTTTGAAAATGTGAAACTGATAAGGCAGAACATATACTGAAGAGATTCACGACATTTACATGTTTAGGAATGTTCTGTACACTTACAATGTCTAAAAACTAATTACAAAATACTACTTTAATAACTAATTGAATTGAGGTTAAACAAATATATGTATTGCATTCAGTTATAGATCTACAACTTATAACAAAAATGAAGTATAATCTACTATGTTCTGACAGTAAAAGTGTTTTAGTCTACAATGATTTAATGATGTAAGGAAATGTATTTTGAGTTACATTCAATGACTTAAATGCATATCTCTACAAAGCAATAGGCCCTTATTCTCTCTACAACAACCCAGAATTCTATACATAAAAAAACTTAGTTCTTGGCCAATTGTAAAATAGTTTGTGCAGATTGTTAGGGAAAAAATTTATCAAAAGCCAGTTTTCAGAAAACTAAAAAATTGGATTGATAGTTGTCATAGTAATGATCACATAAAAAAAGGAAAAAATGTGTTTGGAAACTAACATGATGACATCATTCAATCCTTAATAGTTGTGAAAATTAAAATTCATGAATACATTCATTTTTGAAAGTTTTTAAGAAGCCTGAATTGTTTTCAATGCTTAAAACTGTTATATGATTTTTTTTTAATCTGTAGACAAATATGTTAAAGAAAGTCAATAAACTTTAAATAACAAAAAGTCCAAAGTTTAAAATGCTATGTGTAGATCTAAATATAGCAATGTATTGGAATTTTATTGTAACATTGTGAAATTATTTTTTAGGGTCAACTTGGTTCAAATGTTAGTGCTCTTCCCCCCCCCCCCCCCCCCCCAACTCTTTTTTTTTTCTCTCTACTTGCTCTAAGTTCAACCTAAAATGTTTGTCTACAAATCTCAAGTCTTTTTTACTACCACATCGATTGTTGACGCTATTGAATTATTGCTTTTCCTTTAGGAATGAGTGAAATTTAAAAGTAAAATGTATCACTTTGGAAGTCCTCACCTTCTTTAAGAAAGATGAAAAAAAAAAAGGTTCTAGGGGAAGAAAACAAGGCCGACATGTCAGTTATTTCACATAAAAGATTAATTTTGCTGACAAAAATTAATATATTTTTTATACAAATACTATTAGTCACTGAGGTATAATTGATCATATTCCTTTAACAGATCCCCAATGATATATCTTTTTTATTATTGTTCGCTCATGTTTGTCATAATATTAATATTCATTTTATTCTGTAAATATTAATTACAAAACAATCAACTTGCTAGTTTAATCAATTTTTTTACTCTTCATAAATAAAAAAAAAATTGGAAACCCTGCTAGAGCTAACAGGAAACATTCTCTTGAGACAAATGGTATTATAAATAGGGAATAACAATTCACAGCAATATATGATGTCGCTAAATATAGAGCTGTCACTCAGAGTATAGTAGAGGTAACATAGTCAACAAAAGCTTGCCCATGTTTGTGTGTGTTGAACAGAAAGCATGTGTGGTAGTTGGTGAGATGACAAGATCAACAGAATGAAAGCACTGCGAGGTTCAAGACAGTCTTTTTCTTTTTTTTTACAAATAATTTTCTACATGAATACAACAAAATATTAATGATATAACAGACAAACATAACAGTGTAACGTAATAAAGTAACATAACAGAGTAACTTTACATAGTAGTCTGTCATCTAGATTACATTAACTCTTGTTTTGTTAAACACCCAGAAAAACACAAAATGTTCCAAGAATATTTTGAATAACAGCCCAAATGTGCAGAAAAAAATATCTGCTTACATTTGCATACTTCTGGGTATTTCTGAGTTTTTTAAAGCTTCATAGTTTTGGCTTCATAAAAATAAGTTGTGCTCAGTTTAGTTTCCTAAATTATTTTGATAAATGTATGTAACAATCTAGGTTTGATATTCGTAAACAATATGATAATTTTTATTATTACATTTAGAACTTATCTATGAAAATCTTTATAATTACAAACACATGAATATTAAATTTTATTTTTTTTAAAAGCTGGAGATCAATTGATAATATTAGAGGCTTTTTGTGTTAATACAAAAAATTGTAGAAAATTTGAGGAAACTTTTTTTAAGGTTGAAAAAAAAAAAAGCAAACTAAGTTGTGATCCAGCGCATGGGGAAAACAAGAATTGAAAGAACCTGTTAAATGGACAGATACTTTCAAGAAAAATGACCCTCTTTTTTAAGAGCTGAAACATTGTAGTAAATCTATACAACAATAAGAATAACACTGAATACAGATCTCATCCACAAGAAGATTCTATTTACATCCAACAGAGTATAATGTAATTGTAAACAAAATGAATATTTATAGAACTATAAATAATGTACCCTATATAAATGTCACATCAGCACAGCAGCAAAAGAACTTGTTCACAAATCCATTTATTGCATATAGTCCATGAATATAAATATTGTAGCATTTGCCATTTTGAGAAAACAAAAAGTTGGAAGGTAAAAATGTTTCACTGCAAGGAACAATGAATTATCTGCATTCATTACACATTCTTGCAATCAAAGGCAGAATTTTTTTTTTTACATTGGAATGTGATAATTGATAATTGATAATTGTGAAAAATTGATAATTTTTAATAGACACACCACTGACATAGCCCATTCTGTGGTTTCATGGCATGAAATACATAAATGCAAGACCAGGAAAATGTTGACAACTTGTACGCTCATATTTATATCTTTGTATAACGTCTGTATTATATAAGATAAGATAAGAATGAATGTACGAATGAACTTTGTCTAAACAAATAAGGCTCAAAAAGAAACTATGTGAAAATCATACGGCTTCACTTGTAAGTTTCGAAAGTTCTGTCAGATTTGATGATTATTAGGTCCTGGCCAAAACTTTCTGCTGGATGAAAAGAGCAATGTGTGGGATTTAAGCCTGAGACCATCATCACCACAGTCTAAAGCGCATAATCGCATGGCCATGTAACCATCATTATAATTTAATTTTTAAAAAATTATTTCATTTTGTGGGCTTCAGTATGACTTTTTAACTTTACAGAACTTATATTTACAAATTCTATCAAATGATCCAATGATAAAGTTTATGAAAGAGTTTTTGTGTGATCTTGAAGCAATTTATATTGAGTTCAAATGATTCTAAAATCAAGCGATCTTTTCTGCATTATATAAGACCATGGCTGCTGGACCAGAGAAAAACCTTAACAAGTAAATACCAATGGCTAACACAATTTTCAAGTTAATGTGGGGAAAAAAATTCTAAACAAATTCGCAGAAACAGAAATCTCACTTCACTGACATATACAATTAAAATGTCAATGTTTCTGAAGTTTTGTAAAGATTAAGCTATTTTCTTTGCTCAAAGACTTGAATCAAGTTTGTTGTGTTTTACTTGCATAGATAATAAGTTATTGCTGTGATAATTTTGATTTGATTCAGTTTGTTTCTTTGTTTCGTTTACAAACTTGTATTTTCAGTATGTTCATTTGTTAAAGAAAAGAAGTCACCAAAAGATGGAAGTGGACACACTTCATCATTGCAACCATTGGTCAGAGAAGACAGTTTTGTTTTCCCTTTAGAAATCACAGCCTCTTTGTCTTTATCCACCTCTGCCAAATCCTGATCTTGATCGTGGAATCCTGACTCTGCACTCTCTTCATCTGAGTCTGCCCCTTCATGAATGCAATACTGAACCCCGTCATCCCGCCTCAGTTCTTCTAAATCATTGCCCAATTCCAGGTCTATGATTGGTTCAGAATTGAAGAAGTCTGAACCCATGCCTTCAGCGGATTCCAGGTCTAAGGCAGCCAGAATCCCATGATGATCTGCCCCTTTGTGGTGCAGGCGAGGTGGGGAGGGTCCCACGCTGGCTGGAGTGGAAGGTAAGCTGCAGTTGTCTGCGTTGTTGTTGTCTTCCACTCCATCGAGAACATGATTTCTCATCATGGCTACAACATCATCGTCTTCCTCCTCTTCCTCCACACACTCATCTTCTTCATCCTCCGTGATAGCACCAAGTTTTGGTGCTGTATTTGATTTGGAGACTGGCGGTCGAAAGTTGTTGGCTGTGCTGAGCATTTGGGTCCTGAGAGGAAGAACATTGCCAGTTTTAGGCATAGACTTTGTGCGCTGCATGACCAGACGGGAGGTCTGTTTCCTCAGTTTCTCCCTCTGGAACTCTTTTAAGGCAAAGCTCAGCTTCTGGTGGAGCTGCAGCGCCATCGTTTTGGCCTTGGCTTCATTCTTACACAAGACAGCGTGACACCGGAGCTCGAGTTTCATTTTTTTACCCTCGTGGCGATACACCCAGACAAAGAGTTTAGGGTAGTCAGGGTGGGCAATGCAATAGGATATTCTATGGGCTCTGTACTCGGTGAGCCCCTGCTCCTTGGTGTAAGCCTTCATGCCTGAGCCTGTGATAACGATCTTCATCTCGATGCCCGGGTGCTCGCTACGGAGATAGTTATTCCATATGATGCTGGTGGCTCTATCCACACACCCTTCGCCTTTCATCACTGCTGTCTGGACGTTGCCCAGGTATCGCACTTTGAACGTTGGGTCCTGTTCACTGATGCTAACGCTCTTGCGCCAACCAAATATATTCATTTTAGTCTGCGTTGTTGATGTGGTGTCGTACATGCAAGATTAAGTTGGAGACTTTTCTTGTGTGTAAATACTTAATCTAATCATATAATGGCTTGTGGATGATCAAAATACTTTACATAGTATTACTTCTCAGCGTGTATTTAAATGACATTTGGTCCACTGAAATAAAAGAATAAAAACAATTATGTCAAATATCAAATCAAATGTTGAAAAAAAAAAAAAGTAAACTACAATAATAACCAACTTTAGGCAGGGTATTCAGCTTGGGTTTTGGTACAGTGTGGCTTCAATGAAATACATAAAGATCACAAGATATATAGAGTTCTAGATAGCGGTGAGTTTAGCAATAAAAAAAGGCCTTGTTTTTTGTCCTAATCTTTGCAATATTATTTTACGTGTCAAGTCGACGTTGGAGCTAAC